CAACATAAATGAGTTTTCCAAGTGTACTCTTGTGCAAAAGAAGCCAGACACAAAATAATACTGTATAATTCAATTTATATAAAGTTCAAGGAACAGGCAAAACTTTAGTGTTTAGGACACATTCTCAGGTGGTACAACTCCAAAAGCAAGGAAGCAAGGAAGTGATTATCACAAAAGTAGTTGGAACAGCAATTACCCTGCGGGGCCTTCTGCTTGACTGTTCAGTACCATTGCATGGGTGATGCTAAGCCAGGTGCTCACTTTTTGATAAATCATTCGGTTTTACATTTATGTTTTGTGCACTTTTGTATATGTGCGCTATTCTTTTTTTTTTTTTTTTTCTTGGAACGGAGTCTCGCTCTGTTGCCCAGGCTGGGGTGCAGTGGTCTAATTTCGGCTCATCACAACCTCCATCTCCCGGGTTCAAGCGATTCTCCTGCCTCAGCCTCCCGAGTAGCTGGGACTATAGGCATGCGCCACCATGCCCGGCTAATTTTTTGTATTTTTAGTAGAGACGGTGTTTCACTACGTTGGCCAGGCTGGTCTCAAACTCCTGATCTCATGATCCTCCCGCCTCGGCCTCCCAAAGTGCCGGGATTACAGGCGTGAGCCACCGTGCCCAGCCTATTTTGTATTTATTTTTTTGAGACAGGGTCTTGCTCTGTAGCCCAGGCTGGAGTGCAGAGGCGTGATCACAGTTCACTGCAGTTTTGACCTCCTGGGCTCAAGTGATCCTTCCACCTCAGCCCCCTAAGTAGCTGAGACTAGAGGCGTGTGCTTCCACACCTGGCTAATTTTTGTATTTTTTGTAGAGATGGGGATTTCACCATGTTACCCAGGGTGGTCTCAAACTCCTGGACTCAAGCAATTCACCCACCTCCACCTCCCAAAGTGTTAGAATTACAGGCATGAGCCACTGCACCCAATTAATTTTTTTTGTTGTTGTTGTTGAGACAGAGTCTCGCTTTGTCGCCCAGGCTGGAGTGCAGTGGCCAGATCTCAGCTCACTGCAAGCTCCGCCTCCCGGGTTTACGCCATTCTCCTGCCTCAGCCTCCCGAGTAGCTGGGACTACAGGCGCCCGCCACCTCGCCCGGCTAGTTTTTTTGTATTTTTTAGTAGAGACGGGGTTTCACCATGTTAGCCAGGATGGTCTCGATCTCCTGACCTCGTGATCCGCCCGTCTCGGCCTCCCAAAGTGCTGGGATTACAGGCTTGAGCCACCGCGCCCGGCCTGCACCCAATTATTTTTAAGACATGATCTCTGTCTCCCAGGCTGGAGTGCAGTGGCACTATCGTAGCTCATCGCAGCTTCGACATCCGGGGCTCAAGTGATCCTCCCACCTCAGACTCCCAAGTGGCTGAAAGTACAGGCCCATACCACCATGCCCAGCTAATGTTATTTTAAAAAATTTTCAGAGTCTTGCTACCTTGCCCAGGCTGGTCTCTAACTCTTGACCTCAAGGTATCCTCCCACTTGGACTCCCAAAGTGTTGGTGATTACAGGCTTGAGACACTGTGCCAATCTATTATATGCCATTCTTTTTTTTTTTTTTTTTTGAGACAGAGTCTTGCTCTGTCACCAGGCTGGAGTGCGGTGGTGCGATCTTGGCTCACTGCAGCTTCTGCCTCCCGGGTTCAAGTGGTGTCCCTGTCTCAGCCTCTGGAGTAGCTGGAACTACAGGTGTGTGCCACCATGCCTGGCTAATTTTTTTGTATTTCAGTAGAGATGGGGTTTCACCATGTTGCTCAGGATGTACTCCATCTCCTGACCTCATGATCCGCCCACTTAGGCCTCCCAAAGTGCTGGGATTACAGGCGTGAGCCACTGCACCCGGCCCCATATGCTATTCTTAACAATAAAAAGGTTTTAGAAGTTTGTCTTTGGGAGGCTGAGATGAATCACCTGAGGTCAGGAGTTCAAGACCAGCCTGGCCAATGTGGTGAAACCCCGTCTCTACTAAAAATACAAAACAACAACAACAACAACAACAAAAAAAAAAACAAAAAAAACACTAGCCGGACATGGTGGCAAGCATCTGTAGTCTCAGCTACTTGGGAGGCTGAGGCAGAAAAATCACTTGAACCTGGGAGGCAGAGGTTGCAGTCAGCCGAGATCGCGCCACTGCACTCTAGCCTGGGTGACATGAGCGAGACTCCTTTCCAAAAAAAAAAACAAAAACTGGGCTGTGTGTGGTGGCTCACGCCTGTAATCCCAGCACTTTGGGAGGCGGAGGCAGGAGGATCGCTTAAGGCAAGGAGTTCAAGGTTACAATGAGCTATGAGTGCACATCAGTCTGGGAGATAGACTGAGACCCTGCTTCTAAAAAAAATAGGGGCAGGGGTGGGAAAAGCCGGCTCTAAGGTAGTCATTAGGATGGTGAGGTTGGCTTTTGTTTTGTTGGAGTTTTGATCCTGTCACCTAGGATAGAGTGCAATGGTGTGATCTCAGCTCATTGCAACCTCTTCCTCCCAGGTTTAAGTGATTCTCCTGCCTTAGCCTCCTGAGTAGCCGGAATTACAGGCCCTTGACACCATGCCCAGCTAATTTTTGTATTTTCAGTACAGATGGGGTTTCACCCTGTTGGCCAGGCTGGTCTCAAACTGCTGCCCTCAGGTGATCCACCTATCTCACCTCCCAAAGTGCTGGGATTACATGTGTGAGCCACTGCACTCAGCTGAGAAGAGGCTGGTTTTGACTACATGTGGAAAGTGAGCAAAGGGAGAAGATTAGGCATGTATCAGGTGAAAAGCAGTGCTGAACACTGTGAGGTAGAGAATCTTTTAAGATATTGAACTATCCAGGCCAGGGGCGGTGGCTCACACCTGTAATCCCAGCACTTTGGGAAGCCGAGGTGGGCGGATCACCTGAGGTCAGGAGTTCGAGACCAGCCTGACCAACACGGACAAACTCTGTCTCTACTAAAAATACAAAATTAGCCAGGTGTGGTGGCGCATGCCTGTAATCCCAGCTAATCGGGGGCCTGAGGCAGGAGAATCGCCTGAATCCTAGATGCGGAGGTTGCGGTGAGCCAAGATTGTGCCATTGCACTCCTAACGGGCAACAAGAGTGAAACTCCGTCTTAAAAAAAAAAAAAAAAAAAAAAAAGATTGAACTATCCAGGGCCACTGTGTCAACTCAGGCCAGTCACTTACCCTGAATCCAGATCCCTTATTCACAAAACAGGGAGGCCAGTGTGGCTTAATGGAACCAGCCTTGCATTTTGGTGTTGAGAACGCTGGGCTTAAAATACCAGTTTTCTTGTTACTTGATGGCTGTGTGAACATGGACAATGACTTCACCCCTGTCCCTCACTCCAACCTGTTTGCTCCTGTGCAGATTTGAGGTAATAATTCACAGGATTCCACGATAAAACAGAAGACTAGGCACTTGGGATGTCTGGTACCTTGGTTATCAGTTAAGATAATCTGAACCATGAATGAGAAAATACTTTGAAAACATGAAAGAATAGATAAAAGGTTGGGCGCGGTGGCCTGTAATCCCAGCACTTTGAGGGGCCAAGGTGGGCGGATCACGAGGTCAGGAGTTTGAGAGCAGCCTGGCCAACATAACGAAACACCGTCTCTACTAAAAATACAAAAAAAATTTAGCTGGGTACGGTGGCATGCGCCTGTAATCCCAGCTACTTGGGAGGCTGAGGCAGGAGAATTGCTTGAACCCAGGAGGGAGAGGTTGTAGTGAGCCAAGATCGCGCCACTGCAATCCAGCCTGGGCTCTGTCTCAAAAAAAAAAAAAAAAAAAAAAAGGATAACAATCACTATACGGTTTTCAAACTTTAGTGAAAGCGCGGACTAGCTGGGGGGCATGGGCTTGGAAAACTCGGCATTCCGTACGTCAAGAGTGACCGTGTATTTTAATGTCCAAAGCAAGACTTTTGAGACGGGAGTCTCGCTCTGTCGCCCAGACTGGGGTGCAGTGGCGCGATCTCGGCTCACTGCAACCTCCACCTTCCTGGTTCATGTGATTCTCCTGCCTCAGCCTCGCGATTAGCTGGGATTACAGGCATGCGCCACCACACCGGGCTAATTTTGTATTTTTAGTAGAGACAGGGTTTTGCCGTGTTGGCCAGGCTGGTCTTGAATTCCTGACCTCAGGTGATCCACCTGCCTCGGCCTCTCAAAGTGCTGGGATTACGGGGGTGAGCCACGACGCCCAGCCCAAAGCAGGGTACTTCTGAGAAATGAGGCAATATTAGTAATTATGCCAGCGCAGCAGGCATAAATCAAAACTGACACCCCACCCTTCCAGAACTTAGACAGGGCCCAGGAGTCTGGTTTCCCATCAGGCCTCTTATCTGAACGGGAAGCTCTGCGAGGGCAGGAACTGCCTTTCCTATACAGAGCTTGCTTATTTCTGGAGGGCTCAAATCTACTTAAAGCAATGCTCACACCACTGTGAGACGATCACGTCTAACACTGATTGATCACTTAGGAAGAGCCAGGTATTGTGCTGAGGACTTCACATGCATCACCTGAGTTAATTCTCACCAAATCTTTACGAGGTAGGCGGATTTATTATTTTCCACTGAGGAAACTAAAATTTAAATTGGTTAACTCCTTCAAGGCCACACATTTTGGGTGGAAGAGCAGGGATTGAAATCAGATGAGGATCTGAACCCTTGTTCTCTACTACTCATACCAGTGCCTCCGTTTTTGTTGAGCCTCCCCCTGCCTGCCCCCACGCTGGCGTGCAGCCGGGACCATGGACATCCCAGAGGCTGCCCAGCCGGGGCACCTACAGCCAGCCCCTGGCTTCATACAAGCGCCGGTATGACAGCAGGTGGCAAGCTTGTCCTCTCCTCAAGCTAGCACTGGAAGGGCTGCTTACCGGGGAGGCCGGAGATGGGTGGAGCTACTATTCTGACGCCTGCAGGCCCCTACCAAAAAGAATCCTGCAGGGAGCTGGACGAGGAGCACCTCACACTGCCAGTTCCCTGCCAGGCTACCCTCTGTAGCCGGTTTGAGGGCTCGGTGAGGTTTTGAACTGCAACTAATGGCCACAGATGTCAATGCTGGAAAGGCCCTACGATGCATTTAGTTGATTTCCCAACTTTGCCCAAAGCCATCTCTATTACTTGCCCCCCAAGGCTGGTTTAAGTTGCTTCTACTCAAGAGCATTTGCAGCCTGAGTTCCATGTGTATGTAGCCCAGGCATGGGGCAGGGCTGCACAACATTCCGTCAGCAGGCAGCACAGAGGCCCAGAGAGGGAAGGAGACTGGCCGGAAGCGGCAGAGCCGCGCGGGTGCCGGGACCCAGGTCCCCGCTACGTCCAGAGCCTGCGTCACCAGGACTCCTCCCCTAGGCCGGCAGCCCAGCCCGAGACCCCAGCTGGTTCTAAGACAGCCCCCACGCCCCCTAGTGCGCAAGCTCAGTAAGACCCCGCCGCGCACCGCCCACCGCCCACATCCGGCCCCTGCGTGTGAGCTCGCGGGGTAAACTGAGGCGAGGGCGTGCCAGTGAATTCATTCCTTCCTCAGTCCACCCGCAGGCCTACAAAGCTCTCTCCCCCTCCTCAGCGCCACAAGGCACAGCAGGGACGGATGGGAAGAAGGGGAGGGGGCCGAAAGCAAGCTGGGTGCGAGGAGCCAGCCGATCCTGCCACACTCAAGATGGCGGCACGGCCGTGGCGAGGTCCCTCAGAGGCGGTACCAGCGCATGCGCAGCGCGGAGTCCCAGCCCGGGACACAAGATGGCGGCAGCGGCGCTGGGGAGGGCGAGGCGGAGGCGGCAAAACGGGCGGTCGAGCAGAACGTGTAGCCGCGTCCCCTCGAGTCCGCTCCGGGCAGGTAAGAGTCCCAGGAAGCCATGGTCCCGCAGCGAGCCGCGCCAGGGTCTGGAGATCCGAAGCTGGGCGGCGGCGGCCCCTCCGGCGCTTTCTGCTCGGGGCTGCCTCTTGCCCCATCTCTGTTGCCGCCGCCATCTTAGACCCGCGGGTGGGCAGCCGCGCCGGTGGCCGAAGTGAGGGAGGTGGGCCCAAAGAGCCCGAGCGGAGCGGCCTCTAGGGCCCCTCCGCTGCTGCCGCCGCCACCGCCTTTGTGTCGGGCTCCGACTCTGAGTCGCCTCAGCCCGGGGGCGGGAGCGCGCGGCGGGGCGGGGGGCGGAGCCCGGGAGATGGGCCGGCGCGCGCGCGCGCCAAACAGCCCACCCTCGCTGAGGTGGGGGAGGGGAAGGTGCGCGCGCGCGCGCGCTGGGGTTTGCCGCTTTTCGCCCTCGCGGCTGCGCACTTTGTTCGCCCTTTGACTCCTCCCTACTGGGCCGGAGAATTCTGATTGGTATATTGCGGAGATGGTTCCGCCCCACCTGCCTCCAATCCCGGATTCGGACTGTGGCTTCTGGTGGGTTCCTCTGGTTGCGCAGATACAGTTGTTTATCCTTGAGTAGCGGTAATTGTCAAACTGCGGTATGCGTGGGGGTCGGGAAGCCACAGGATAAATAAAAATGTTATCTTAAGAGCAGTTATGTCTTACTGGGAGCGTACAATGCTGGACTCTACACATAACGGTCGAGTGATTCCGGTTTATAAGCCGGGAAGCAGAAGGGCCTCGAATCCGGGTCTGTCCAACCCCAGGGCTGGTACTTCGGCCACAGACCTGCTGCACTCAAGTCACATAGGGAATTAAAAATGGTTTTAATCGCAAAAAATGGCTAAATTTTTTCAAATAGTGTGAAAAAATGAGTCATCCTGTCTCTTAGGGTGCGTTTTAAAAATACAAATTCTTGTGTGCCTCCCCTCCGTATTTCTGGCTCCTGAGATGCTCAGTGAGGCACAGGCGTCTGAATTTTTTTTTTTTTTCCACAAACTCCGAGATGATTCTGATGCACAGCTGGCTTTGGAAATACTGCAGTGTCCCCATTTAGCCTCACACTAAGCTGTGCCGCTTGTGCGTATTCTGCGAAGTTCATCTACCCGGTGCATCAATATCACAGGATGTTTGTTTCTTGGGAAAAACGTTTTTCAATAAAGGCGAACAAGATGTGTCATATACGGCGTTTGCATGTTTTTATTTTTGCAAGACGTTCAGAGCGTGTCCTTTCATTTGCTGTGGGAGGCTTGGGATTGTGTCCCCCAGATCAGTGATATGTATGTATGTTGATTTTTCTCTGGTCTAAGGGTACTTTATTTTTTAAGAGACGAGGTCTTGGCCGGGCGCGGTGGCTCACGCCTGAAATCCCAGCACTTTGGGAGGCCAAGGTGGGCAGATCACCTAAGGTCGGGAGTTTGCTGACCCACACGGAGAAACCCCGTCTCTACTAAAAATACAAAATTAGCCAGGTTTGGTGGCGCATGCCTGTAATCCCAGCTACTCGGGAGGCTGAGGCAGGAGAATCGCTTGAACCTGGAAGGTGGAGGTTGTGGTGAGCCGAGATCACGCCATTGCGCTTCAGCCTGGGCAACAAGAGTGAAACTGTCTCAAAAAAAAAAAAAAAAGATACACTAAAAAAAAAAGAAAAGAAAAAAAAAGAGATGAGGTCTTGCCCTGTCACCCAGGCTGGAGCACAGTGGCATGATTATACTTCACTGCAGCCTCGAGCTCCTGGGCTCAAGTGACCCTTCCACCTCAGCCTCCTGAGTAGCTGGGACTGCAGGTGCTTTTTTTTGTTTGTTTTATTTGGGCCTGGCGCAATGGCTCACACCTGTAATCCCAGCACTTTGGGAGGCCCAGGTGGGTGGATCTCTTGAGGTCAGGAGTTCGGACCAGCCTGGCCAACATGGTGAGACCCCGTCTCTACTAAAAGTACAAAAAATTTAGCCAGGTGTGGCTCATGCCTGTAATCCCAGCTACTTGAGAGGCTGACACAGGAGAATCGCTTGAACCCAGGAGGTGGAGGTTACAGTGAGTTGAGATCATGCAGTGTACTCCGTCCTGGACAACAGAGTGAGACTGTCTCAAAACCAAACAAAAAGTTTTATTTGTCGTAGAGCTGGGGGGGTCTCACTATGTTGCCAAGGCTGGTTTTGAACTCCTAGCCTCAAGAAATCCTTCCACCCCGGCCAAGTTGCCAAAGCCACCATGCCCAGCCTAAGGGTACTTAAGTTGGCAGGACTGGCTACAGAGTTTGTGGGGCCCAGTGTGCAAAATGAAAATGCGAGCTCCTTGTTAAAAAGTTATTAAAAATTTTAAGACAGTGACAGCAGAGCCTCAAACCAAGCTCAGGGCTTTTCTGAATGTGGGTCCCTGTGCAGTCGTGCAGGTCACGTGCCCATGAAAGCAAACCTATTGGTGAGAAAGCTTAAGAGGTATCATTTTCATCTCCTGTATTCCCTCATCCCCTCTCCCGATGTGTCCTGCGCTGGAGGCCCCCAGCTTGCTCTTTGTTTTTGCCCCTCTTGTTGTCCCCGCCCTGCAGCATCCCACAGGTCTGTGACTGTCTATTTTCCTATTTGCTTTCCAGCTGCTGATGCAAGGAATCCCCTGGGGCCCCGTCCACTTCACTGCTGACCAGCCCATCCGTCTGTGCTGAGTCTTCCTGCAGGCCTTTCCTCGCCTCTGTGGGACCCTGTGGGGGTCCATCCAGCTGGAGAAGAAAAGCCTCTCATGCTAGCATTGCAGACCCCAGAGGGTGAGAGAAAGGGGGACTTCATTCAGTCTTGAAACCTGTGGGCTCAGCCCCTAAGGCACCAGGAATTCTTCCTGCCCAGAGAATCCAGGCAGCTTCGTTTTTTTCATACCTTGGTCAGTGGTTCTCAACCTTTTTGTTATCAAGGCCCTTTTTGTTGTACATTAATGTCCTGTTGCTCCCTGCGTTTTTATCTGCCAAACTGTACCGATGGAGTAACCATTCACTTTTCCCTTTCTAAATTAATGAAGAAGTCTGTGACGGAGTGTACAATAAAATCAGTGTCCCAATGATTCCTCTGATGTCGTCAACAACCAATCAGAGCTTCTGATCAGCATGAGAAAATCAGTGTGACCACAATGAGTTGATAAAATTTCAGCATGAAAAGATAACTGATTATTAAGCCTGCCTTTGTGGTCTTGTTGTGGGTAAAAGTTTGATTTCTTTTGGGAAGTGTGACCTACTGAAAACAAATTTAGCATCATCAAGTCTGTCTTAGCTCCCAGTTGTCTGACAGCCCCAGGCCAGAAGCACTTTGGCTTCTGAGGCTCGTGCTGGGCATGCTTTGGGTGGGGGAGTAGGGAATACAGATCTGAAGGAACTGGCCTCCTTGCTGGTACTTACAGTAAATGTTCACCTGGGGATTATGAAGGAGTCATTTAGATCGTCCTTCTCAGTTGCATTGGTTATTTTAGCAACAGCTGCTTCCTGCCATGTAATGTAAAATAAGGTGACCAATTAGATTCCATGCCCTTCCCTAGTGTGCTTTGTTCCTTTTAGATTTTACTGGATAGAAGCAGTAAAATCCCATCTCCTCCTGAAAGTTGTTACTGTTCCTTCTTGTAGGAATTGCTTCTCAAGGGCAGATCTTGTTCTGTCTTGTTTGCTGCTCTTGGTGCTTTGTAAATATTTGCAGAATCAATAGTGCTTCTGTTGGGTCCAGGTCCTATGCCTGAGCCCAGGAGAGAGCTGAATTGGACCCAGTTCCTGTTCCTGGGAGTTCTGACAGTTTAATGGGGAGACAAACCCAGCTGATAGACCAGACCATCTGAGTGCTATGACAGAGGTGTTCACGGCCCTGAGGAGGAGCTCTGACCACCTGACCTCGGGAGGGGAGAGTCAAGGAAGGCTTCCTGGAGGATGTGAACACAGTAGCAAGCCAGGCAGAGAAGAGGGGGAGGGGAATTTTAGGCAGAGGAAGCAGCAGGAGTGCACCCATTGAACAACTGGAATTGCAGCTTAGATCCCAGGGATGCTGTGTGGCACCATGCTGGCTCTCCAGGACAGGACCTGATTGGATTTCTCCACATCCATGGGTGGTCACTGGGGCCCTGGGTGGATTATAATTGGCGGGTGAGGGGGTGGAGCTGACACTCTTTGGTCCTCTGTGTGGCAGGTCCTTTGTGGGTGCAGAGATGGCCAATGAGAATCACGGCAGCCCCCGGGAGGAAGCGTCCCTGCTGAGTCACTCCCCAGGTACCTCCAATCAGAGCCAGCCCTGTTCTCCAAAGCCAATCCGCCTGGTGCAGGACCTCCCAGGTACTGAGGGGGAGCAGCAGTGGGGTGGTGGGGTAGGAAGGGCACCCTGGGAGTAGCCCTGACCCTGGCTGGGCCCCATGCCTGTTTGCAGAGGAGCTGGTCCATGCAGGCTGGGAGAAGTGCTGGAGCCGGAGGGAGAATCGTCCCTACTACTTCAACCGATTCACCAACCAGTCCCTGTGGGAGATGCCCGTGCTGGGGCAGCACGATGTGATTGTGAGTGCCAGCCTAGGGTGGGGGGTCTCAGAGTGGCTTCTGGCACCTGGGCCTTCCCCAAATGTACCCTGAGGAGCCAGCCGTTCAGTGCCCAGCCCTGTGCTGGCACCTGCAGATACAATGACAAGCAAGACACACACAGTTCCTGCCCTCATGGAACCTACACTCAGATGGGGTAGACTGACAAGTAAACAGATGATTGCATGGCTGCTGCGCGGTGGGTGCTGCGCCGCAAGGCAGGAATGGAAAAGGCAGACTTGCTCCCTGCGGTCGCAGAGCACCCATGGGCTGCCAGCAGACAGTAGGATGACAGTTGTGGTCCGTGTATGAGGAAGTGTTATGGTACATCTGGATCCTGACCTACTCTGGGAAAGGCAAGATGATGGGAAAAGCCCTGAGAATGAGTGTTTAAGGCGAGAGGGTTAGCGAGTGTGTGTGGGGAGGAAAAGAACATTCTAGGATCTGACATGTCAGTACGACGGGAAGTACAGGCATGGGCTGTTTGGCGGGAACATGGGCTTTTGGATCCTTCTCAGCTGGGGCAGCATGTCTTTACTGGGCACAGTCAAAATAGTTGGCATCTCCGTTTTGCATGTGAAGACACTGAGGTTCAAAGATGGGGAACCACTGGTACAAAACCTCACAGTTAGTAATAGGCAGAGCAGGACGCGCATCTGATGTGAATTCAGGGCTGCACTACTCACCGCTATGCGTTCTCTGGGTGTTACCAAGAGTCCTATCTGCAGGGCTTTGCTTTTTACAACAATAAGCAGTTTTTGAGCTTTTCCTTTATTCCTTTCATTCTGTTCTTGAGGAAAATAATGTGTAATGTGTACTGATCTCACGCCAGATGCCATGTTAAGCAAGTCATGTTCACTGACTCATTTAATCTCAGTGGTGATGTAGGGCTTAGCATGGCCATTCTGAAGGTAAGAGAACTGGAAGGGAAGTAACACACCCTGTCGCAGTTGCAAGTTGCAGGCAGGACTGGAGCCCAGTGTTCTCTGCCTGTATCCCAGCCCCTCTGCTCTTCTCTAAGGAGTAGGAGCAGGGGTGGGAGGGCCTGAGGATTCAAAGTCCTGGGGCTCCTAAGCCGCTGGCCCTGGTTGCAACTCTGCTGGTCTCCCTCCACCAGTCGGACCCTTTGGGGCTGAATGCGACCCCACTGCCCCAAGACTCAAGCTTGGTGGAAACCCCCCCGGCTGAGAACAAGCCCAGAAAGCGGCAGCTCTCGGAAGAGCAGCCAAGCGGCAATGGTGTGAAGAAGCCCAAGGTGAGTGTCTGCGGCCAGGAACCGGCTGCTGAGCAGCCAGCTCAGATGGGCAGCCCGCAGGCTCCCTGCAGGGGCTAGGCGTCGGCAGGCCAGCCAGGAGGGGGGCCCGGGACACAGTTCACCAGGTGTGCACTGTATTGGATGGAGCCTCTCTGGTGAATCTCCTGACTTGACACCTTTGTGACTTTCACTACAGATTGAAATCCCAGTGACACCCACAGGCCAGTCGGTGCCCAGCTCCCCCAGTGTCCCAGGAACCCCAACGCTGAAGATGTGGGGTACGTCCCCTGAAGATAAACAGCAGGCAGCTCTCCTGCGACCCACTGAGTGAGTCCCCGCTGATTGGCTTGGGGGCACCCACTGCTAGCGTCAGCCTGTCTGGGACTGTGGGGTGTGGTGTGGGTGGCCAGGGCATCTTCATCACTCCTCTCTGTGCCCCAAGGGTCTACTGGGACCTGGACATCCAGACCAATGCTGTCATCAAGCACCGGGGGCCTTCAGAGGTGCTGCCCCCGCACCCTGAAGTGGAGCTGCTCCGCTCTCAGCTCATCTTGAAGCTTCGGCAGCACTACCGGGAGCTGTGCCAGCAGCGAGAGGGTACCTGCCTCTGGGCTGCGGCCTCCTTTATTTCCACCCACCTTTAGCAAGAGCCAGGCTTGACCAGGCCAGCTTGGGAATGGCGAAGTGGGGCCCCGTGGTGAGCCATGATCACGCCAATGCACTCCAGCCTGAGCGACAGAGCAAGACCCTGTTTCAAAAAAACCAAAAAAACAAAGAGTATTTATACCTTAGGATTCTATGACAAGGATTAAGTAAAATGGATAAGTATTAAATAAACTGTAGTTTTAAATTTTTTTTTTTTGAGACGGAGTCTCGCTCTGTAGCCCATGCTGGAGTGCAATGGCACCATCTCTGCTCACTGCATCATCCGCCTCCCAGGTCCCGGTTCAAGCAATTCTCCTGCCTCAGCCTCCCGAGTAGTGGGATTACAGGCACACACCACCATGCCCAGCTAAGTTTTGTATTTTTAGTAGAGACGGGGTGTCACAGTGTTGGCCAGGCTGGTCTTGAACTCCTGACGTCGTGATCCACCCGCTTCAGCCTCCCAAAGTACTGGGATTACAGGCATGAGCCACCACACCTGGCCAATTTTTTTTTTTTTTAAGAGACACGATCTTGCTATGTTGCCCAGGCTGGTCTTGTACTCCTGGGCTCAAGCCTTCTGCTTGCCTTGGCCTCCCACAGTGCTGGGATTACAGATGTGAGCCACCATGCGTGGCCTAGTTTTTAATTTTTATGATTAGTAATAAACCTATTTAACTTTGCTCAAAGATAGAATCCTCTGGCCTCCCCCCCGCTTTTTTTTATATTATGTAATACTTTTTTTTCTTTTTCTAAGATGGAGTTTCACTGTTGCCCAGACTGAAGTGCAATGGCACAATCTTGGCTTACTGCAACCTTTGCCTCCCGGGTTCAAGCAATTCTCCTGCCTCAGCCTCCTGAGTAGCTGGGAATGCAGGCACATGCCACCATGCCCAGCTAATTTTTGTATTTTTAGTAGAGACGGGTTTTTTCCATGTTGGCCAGGCTGGTCTCAAACTCCTGACCTCAGGTGATCCACCCACCTCGGCCTCCCAAAGTGCTGGGATTACAGGCGTGAGCCACTGCGCCCGGCCTTTTTATTCTTTTCCTTTGAGACAAGGTCTTGCTCTGTCACCCAGGTTGGAGTGCAATGGCGCGACTGCAGCTCACTGCAGCTTCGGTCCCCGGGTTCAAGCGATCCTCCCGCCTCAGCCTCCCGAGCAGCTGGGACACCCAGCTAATTTTTTTTTTTTTTTTTTTTAGCAACACAGGATCTTACTGTGTTGCCCAGGCTGGTCTTGAACTCCTGGGCTCAAGCGATCCTTCCACCTTAGCCTTCCAAAGTGCTGAGATTATAAGTGTGAGCCACTACACCTGGCTAGATACTTATTAACACTATAAAACTAGTGATTCTTAGAAAATATTTTGGGAAATGCAGCCTAGAAGCTTCTGAAGTGGGACTGTGTCTTGCTTACTGCTGAATGTGGTGCTTCCTATATGTGCCAAGCTCCAAGTGGGACTGCTTGATTAAATCCAGGCCTTCAGCAGCTCTCCTGTCCTACAGGCATTGAGCCTCCACGGGAGTCTTTCAACCGCTGGATGCTGGAGCGCAAGGTGGTAGACAAAGGATCTGACCCCCTGTTGCCCAGCAACTGTGAACCAGTCGTGTCACCTTCCATGTTTCGTGAAATCATGAATGACATTCCCATCAGGTACAGCCCCACAACTGGGGATGACCCTGGGCCATTTGGTTTCTGTGCCCAGTCATGTATAGAAGGGCTCTAACTCTGCCCACTGTCTAACGCAGGTTATCCCGAATCAAGTTCCGGGAGGAAGCCAAGCGCCTGCTCTTTAAATATGCGGAGGCTGCCAGGCGGCTCATCGAGTCCAGGTTTGCCTCTGTCTCCTGCCCCAGGCAAGATGGGTCTGTGATCAAAGTGGGAGGTCATAGGCCATCTTGCCTGGTCTCATGCAGGGCTGTCGTTGCTCTTGGTGGCAGAAGTGGGGCCAGCTCCCAAAGGCAGAACAAGGGCTGTGATGGAAGCTAGGGGTTGATGCCCAGGGAGCCCATGGAAGTGGAGTGAGGAGGGTGGAGCCAAGCCATTCCTTTCTTCTACCCTCCCCTTGACTGGCAGGAGTGCATCCCCCGACAGTAGGAAGGTGGTCAAATGGAATGTGGAAGACACCTTTAGCTGGCTTCGGAAGGACCACTCAGCCTCCAAGGAGGACTACATGGTGAGTGGGTCCCCGGGTGAGAAGGCCAGTTTTAGGGCTCTGTGGCCACTTCCTCTAGGAAGCCTACTCTGCCTGTCCAGGCTGGGCAAGGCCTCCCCCAGCGGCCTATTCTTGTGGAATATGGCAGACATTTGACGTTCATCAGTCCCCAAACTCATGATTGTGGAGATGTTTCTCTAGGCTCCTGGCTTTCTCCCACAGAACATTTCCATTAACAGTCTTAATGGAGTCTTATGCTTGGCCACACACCACAGGTAGCTGCCTTTCAGCCTAATGAATGTTCCGCATCTCCCTTGAGTAGATTTTTGGAAACAGATTGACAGCCTGTTTTTTCTTGGGTGTGTGTATTCATATCATAGTTAAGAGCTACCATCAGATTGAATTCCCTACTCTTAATGTGTCCAAAACAATTCTGTTTTCTGGCCAAAACCTATCACTTCTTAAACCTCTCCACCAGCACTAGCAATGGGCTTTCTTTTCAGGACCATATTTCACAAGAGACAAGGTTTCGCACTTCACGATAGTAACTGTGTACTTGACACGTAGAGAGTGACAAAGGTAGGTGTACTCACTAGCCAGAGTGACTCATTCTCACTCTTCAGTTTTACACGTGATTCAGCAAAATTACAAATCCCGACAGTCATCTTTGCAAGTAGCTAAAAGCTCAAATCTCAAGTCTGCAGCAACCAACACTCTTTTGTAATTGTGTCTTTCCCCAATAGACTGCAAACACTGTAAGCTGGGACCATGCTGGTTTGTCTGTTTCTCCAGTAATTACCGTGGGATCTAGCAGTGTAACCCCAACAAAAGCTACTGGCATTTATTGTACACTTACTGTATGCCAGGCACTTGGTAAGCCCTTAAGGGAAATGATTACATTTAATATTCAAACTGCCCTGTTAGGTATCTCGTGTCCCCTTGGCACTTGAGGAATGATTCAGAGAAGCCAGGGGATATGTCCAAGTGACACAGCTAGTCAGTAGCAGAGCTGGTTTCAAAACAAGGACTGCTGGACTCCAACAGCCCTGCGGTTACCTGCCAGCCCAGCTGAGCCCCTTTGGCCTCCACTAGCACCCTGATCCAGAATATCTCCTCTAGGATCGCCTGGAGCACCTGCGGAGGCAGTGTGGCCCCCACGTCTCAGCTGCAGCCAAGGACTCCGTGGAAGGCATCTGCAGTAAGATCTACCACATCTCCCTGGAGTACGTCAAACGGATCCGAGAGAAGCACCTTGCCATCCTTAAGGAAAACAACATCTCAGGTAGGGGAAAGGTGGAGGAGGAGCCAGCTGTGATGCCATCAGCTCTATACCCTGATGGAAGGGACAAGCGAGGCTGAGCCTCAAGGCCAGGGACTGGTTTGGGGCAGAACCTGCTGTGTCCTTTGGCTGTACTTCTCTGGGAAACAGGGAGGAGTGATAAAGGGAGAGCCAGATGGTGGTGGTGAAAGATAGGCTGGGAGTCATAGTTAGGTGTACCCGAATTTACATCCATTCTCTGCAAGCCTCACTTTCCCCAGACTGAAGTACAGCACCTGGTGGTAGGATTGTGTGAGTACTCACAAGTAACTCAGGTAAACCGTGTGGCCCAAAAAGATCCCCAAATAAGGAATCGTCACTATTACGATGATGGCGATGCATTTCTTGTACTTCTGCCCAGCACCAGGACCCATAGGCCTGAGCCTTCTTGCCTACCAGCCCAAGGCACGGCATACAGGGGCCTGCTTCGGTACTGAGCGTGTTGACACAGGCCACCTGTTTCTGCCCCAGCCAATTGTCTGGCTGGTTTCTTTTTATGGCTTTCATTCCTTTTCTACTGAACTAGGCCACACTATACTGATCTGTGAAATGGGACTTCCCTCTCTCAGTAGAAAGCATGTGGCCCACAGTGGCTGCAGCATGAGAATGAGGAGTATGGTCCCTCACTGCTCTCCCTGCCCACAGAGGAGGTGGACGCCCCTGAGGTGGAGCCCCGCCTTGTGTACTGCTATCCAGTCCGGCTGGCTGTGTCTGCACCCCCCATGCCCAGCGTGGAGATGCACATGGAGAACAACGTGGTCTGCATCCGATATAAGGGAGAGATGGTCAAGGTCAGCCGCAACTACTTCAGCAAGCTGGTAAGAGCTACGGGGAGGAAGTCCCTAGCTGATGGCACGAGTCAGGGCCTGGGATCTTTCCTGAGCAGAGTCCCCAGCAGGAGCCCAGTGATGAGGACATGAGGGAGCACTGCTGAAGGCCACTCCTCTCTGTCCCACCCCACAGTGGCTCCTTTACCGCTACAGTTGCATTGATGACTCTGCCTTTGAGAGGTTCCTGCCCCGGGTCTGGTGTCTTCTCCGACGGTACCAGGTACAGGCCTGGGGCAGCAGGGAGGGCTCCCCAGGAGGGAACAGGGAGGGCGAGCCCCAGGCGCTGACTATGGCCACTCCACAGATGATGTTCGGCGTGGGCCTCTATGAGGGGACTGGCCTGCAGGGGTCGCTGCCTGTGCACGTCTTTGAGGCCCTCCACCGACTCTTCGGCGTCAGCTTCGAGTGCTTCGCCTCACCCCTCAACTGTTACTTCCGCCAGTACTGTTCTGCCTTCCCCGACACAGACGGCTACTTTGGCTCCCGCGGGTGAGGGCCAAGGGCTGCCCTCTACCCAGGCCAGGGAAGTGGTCCTCCACAGCACCGGGCCCGCCTCTGCTGGCTGCTTCCTGGGCTGTAGTGTCAGGCAGGCTTGGGTGGAGTCCCTGCCTCCACCTCTTACCAGCTATGTGATCTTGGACATGTTGCTTAACTTCTGGGAGTCTGAGCTTTTCTGGCTCTGTGGGCAGGCATGTGACACCCCTAGCTGGCCTCTGGGTTTCTCAGTGAGTCAGCTCAGAATGGAATAGGAACACGTGGTCCCGGGCCCTGAGAGGAGTGAGAAGTGGGGCCACAGACCTCAGAGGCCTTACAAACTAGGGGTGGGGGTGAGCACAGATGAGAGAACGTAATGCTGTCTCCAGAAGGAAGAATGGCCAGGACCTCCAGAGGTCCAGAGCTCAGCAGCTGGGGATCCTGGGTGCAGCTTCTGCTGTAGTGGTAGTGCTGGGCTCAGAACTGGATTTGAATGCCAGCTTGGTGAACATGGGCATCCCAGCCTGAGCCTCGTTCACTGTCTTCATTCATTCAGTGGAGACGGTTATGCCTTGTGCCCCAGTGAATTAGGGTGAATGCTGGCTTCTGGAGAGGCCATCTCTTCAGTGTGGCTGCCTAGGGTTGAGGATGGCACCTGTTTCTGGTTGAGGGACTGGGTCCTGATAGGACTTAAAATGCTCACTCCTGTCCCCAGGCCCTGCCTAGACTTTGCTCCACTGAGTGGTTCATTTGAGGCCAACCCTCCCTTCTGCGAGGAGCTCATGGATGCTATGGTCTCTCACTTTGAGGTGGGTGCACTGCCAGGGTGAGGGGTGGGCAACAGGGCAGGATTGCCAGCCACCTGGGAGGCAGCCCCTGACGTCCACCCTGTGTCCCCTTCCACAGAAACTGCTTGAGAGCTCACCGGAGCCCCTGTCCTTCATCGTGTTTATCCCAGAGTGGCGGGAACCCCCCACACCAGCGCTCACCCGCATGGAGCAGAGCCGCTTCAAACGCCACCAGTTGATCCTGCCTGCCTTTGAGCACGAGTACCGCAGTGGCTCCCAGCACATCTGCAAGAAGTGGGTGCCAGGGAGGGCAGGGGACGGAGGCTAGGCTGGCCAGGCCAGGCCCAGCCCCACCCTGAGCCATTGCCTTTGCCCGCAGGGAGGAAATGCACTACAAGGCCGTCCACAACACGGCCGTGCTCTTCCTACAGAACGACCCTGGCTTTGCCAAGTGGGTGCCAACGCCTGAACGGCTGCAGGAGCTGAGCGCTGCCTACCGGCAGTCAGGCCGCAGCCACAGCTCTGGTTCTTCCTCATCGTCCTCCTCGGATGCCAAGGACCGGGACTCGGGCCGTGAGCAGGGCCCTAGCCGCGAGCCTCACCCCACTTAACATACCCTGCGGGGAGGAGGAGCCCCAGGGGTGCTGGTCTGGACTGCTGGGACTCAGGCCCCTGGGGCCTGACAGGGACCCCGCTGCCACTGACATAGGAAGATTATGGTTCTGCCAGGGCTCCCCTCCCTGCCTGTCCCCAACTCCTCACCTCAAACTTCCTCCAAGTCCCATGTATATAGGTCCCGATGCCTTCCCAACCCCACCCCTCATCCTGTTGCCACCTTGTTTCATTTGTAAAAGGAAATACAGAAACCCCCCCAAGAATGTGTGAGGGTCTTGAGGGCAGAGAAGGCTGAGGCAGCTGGAGCTACTTCTGGGACCACACTCCCCTCCCTCCAGCAGCTCCTTCTCATGGTCCCTGGACCTTCACTCCCCAGCTGGGGCTCCCACACAGCTGGGTCTCTGGTGGCCTCTGCCTGGGCTCAGCAGGTCCGAAGAGTCCAAGGCCCTGCATCCCCTAGCTCCAAACTCCCCCAGCAGGGCCTGCATGGATACCCCTGGGGATCAGAGGACTGGGAGCTGTGCCTGTCCCCAACCCAAAAGCCAGACTCTGGCTGGCCTTGGATCCCCACAGTGAGCAGACAGCTAGGTGTGCCTCACAGTCGAGGATCAGGAGAGCAGCCTCAGGGGCCCTGTAGGCACAGAGCGCATGCTCCCTAGGGCCCAGGGAGGAAGCAGGTCTGAAGGTGCTTGCTGGGGCTCTCGCTGGTTCAGCCGTCTCTCTCATTGCCAGGCCTCTGCAGCAAGGGTCTGCCCTGCTGGTGGATCACTGGACTGAGAGAGGCAGGGCAGGGCAGGTCATGCTGTGGAGCCACACAGCCTCCACCTCAAAAGATCTGGCCTGGTTCAGGCTGCAGCAGCAAGCAGACAAAGTAAGCTGTTCAGGACTGGACTCCAGTCCCTTTATTGAGACTGAGAGGCCAGTGGGTCCACCCAAACAAAAATAAATTTCTATCCCAAAGCCTGCCTGCAGGCTGGGGCACCCAGCACATCTTGGCCGGGGCCCATGGCTGCCCCTAACCCCAACAGCACAGGTCTGGCTCCCTAGGAATGAGAGGATGCTGGCTGTCCAGTATCTGGAGATGCTAAATGAAGAGGGAGGTGAGTCCTGGTGGCCCCCCACCCCCGGGAGGGCTGGCCTCAAATCCAGGATCTGTGTCGGGCCCTCAGGGCTCAGTCATCGGCCAGGGTGATGACGTCGTACTCGATGCCCTGGTGCTGCAGCTGTTGAATGTGTTCAGGCACTGCCTCCTCTGTGCCAAACAGGCCTTGGGCTTGGGCCATGGCAGCATCAGCCACTGCTGCCAGGGGAGGGGAAAGTATGGTGAGCTAGAGGCTCAGGAGCTGGGTCCAAACCCAGCCCTGTGCTCCTCAGGGTCCAGCTCCATACCTGTGACAGCCGAGTGTGCTGCAGCCTCAAGTTGAGCCTGTGTGACAAGCTGCTGGCCTGGGGACACAGGCACATACTGGATCTGGAGGGGAAAAGCTGATAAGATGCTGGCCTGCAGAAACCCTGCCTGTGCCCCAGGTCTCCCTGTCCTCCCAGGGCCCTACCTGGGACTCCTGAAGGAATGGGGCTCCTTGTTCATACTGGATGTGTGTGATCTGGCCCTCCTGTACCTGCAGAGAGGAAGCCAAGCTGTGATTCTGGGAAGAGGTCATGCAGCCCTTCACCACACCCCACCCTCATCCCAGGGTGTGGTCTACCTGGATGTGATGGCCCTCGGGGACCACAACATATTCCTGGGGGAGCAGGTGCTGGACACCATCCTGGGAGATGATATACTGCACCTGTGGGCGGGGGGGAGGGTGGCAGTGGTGGCAAGGAGGCAGGTGCTGAGGCCTCGTTCTCCAGGAGCTCAGCTAAGAAGGCAGAGTGGAAGACTAGGAATAGCCACCAGCAACAAAGCAGTTGTTGGCAAGCATGGACCCCAGGAGGGGTGGTTTGGAAAGTATCATTCCTCCCCAAGGTGGGTCTTTGTTTGGGAGGGCAGGTCACAGCTAAGGGCATCAACAGTAGCTAGCAGCTCACCTGGTTGTCGGAGGTCACCAGGTGCTGTACGGTCTGGCCATCTGCTGTGGTGATCTCTTGGATGTAGGTGGCTTCCTCCTGCCAGGACCAAGCCAGCTCTAGCCTCATTTCTCTACCCCAACCCCTGCCTGTCACTGGCCAGAGGGCCCCCAGTCCTGACTCTTACCTGATTGGTCACTGTCTGCTCCTGGGCAACGATGATATGTTCCTGGCCCAGTGCCTGCTGTAGCCGCTCTGGGCCCAGGACCCCGTGACTGGACTGGAGTGCAGCTGGGCAGAGAGGAGAGGATGCTCACACGTGAGGTCCAGGAAAACCTGCAATGCCCCAGCCTCTACTGTGCCCAGAGGTGCCTTTTGGGGCAGTGGCCCAAGTCTCTGGATCTACCCTGGTGCCCACCCTGTGGCCCCAGGGGCAGCTCACTGTGCAGGGTGGCCAGTGTTTCGTCATCACTGTTCAGGATGATGGTCTGGGTCGGGGTCTGGGTAGCAGCCCGGGCTGTAGGAGTTCCTGACTTCCTCCCATCAGGACTGTGCAGCCGCTGGATATGGAACTTGAGGTGCCCGTTACGGTTGAAACTGAAGGGGATGAAAGGTGGCTCAGGTTAGCCCTATCATACATGCCCAGCGGTCCCCACCCATCGGTATGTGGCCTCACCGCTGCCCGCAGAGGTGGCACGCAAAAGGCTTCTCCTTGGTGTGAGTCAGCATGTGCCGCCGCAGGTCCTTCTTATTCTTGGAGGCGAAACTGCACTGGCTACACTGGTGGGGCCGCAGGCTTGAGTGCTGCGCCATGTGCGCCTGCAGAGGGCAGAGTTGGGGGCATCAGCTGGGTCAGGACAGATGGCAACAAATCCCCAGATCCCTGCCGACAGCTGGTCAGGGAACCAGGCAAAGCGGACCTGGGAAAACCAAAATCCTATGTACTAACAAGAAGCTGGGTAGAAAGACCAAGCCAGATCCACATCTGGTGCTGCTGTGTCCTAAAAGTGAAAGGCCATAGGTTCGATCATTATTAGGTCAATTGGAAAATTTCAGTTTACCCATATGTAACTTAGAGGTGTTGGATGAGGGGACCTGTGCAGGTCCCATCGGGCTTTTTTTTTTTTTTTGAGACAGAGTTTTGCTCTTGTCACCCAGAGGTGGAGTGCAGCGGCGTGATCTCAGCTCACCGCAACCTCTGCCTCCTGGGTTCAAGCGATTCTCCTGCCTCAGCCTCCCGAGTAGCAGGGATTACTGGCATGTGTCACCACGCCTGGCTAATTTTGTATTTTTAGTAGAGACGGGTTTTCTCCATGTTAGTCAGGCTGGTCTCAAACTCCCGACCTCAGGTGATCCACCCGCCTCGGCCTCCCAAAGTGCTGGCATTACAGGCATGAGCCACCGCGCCTGACACGGGCCCTGATTTTCTAGGGTTGAGGCCTGCCTGACGGAGCCTCCACCTCTGCATCTGTAGGGGTGGGGCTCTAGGCCCTGCTTCCCTCTCTGACCTCTGGGGAGGATGCAGTGCGTGACTGGATCTGAAAACTGGAAATCCTCAGGCAAACAGGGAGGCCCCAAGCTGGGCTATGAACCTGCCCACTAGCCTTCTCCATGGTGGCTCCCCAACTACCTCAAACTTCTGTGCCCTCAGTATTCTAGACAAGTGGTCCCCAACCTTTTTGGCACCAGGGACTGGTTTTATGGGAGATAATTGTTTCACGGCATGTGCAGGGTGATGGTTTTGGGATGAAACTGTTGCACCTCATCATCAGATACTACTTAGATTCTTATAAGGAGTGTGTGATCTAGATCCCTTGTATGCACAGTTCACAATGGGGCTGTGCTCCTATGACACTCTAATGCAGCTGCTGTGACAGGAAGTGGAGCTCAGGCTAATGCTTGCCCACCTGCCGCTCACCTCCTGTGTGGCCTGGTTCCTGACAAGCCATAGATGGCTACTGGTCTGTGGACCAGGGGTTGGGGAACCCTGTTCCAGACGTTCAAGTCTCCCTAGCCATGCCTCTGTCTCACACCTCTGTGCCTTTGCTCTTGGAGGCCCAGCTTGGCCATCCCTCCTGTGGCATTTTCCCCAGCACACTCAAGTTCAAATGACTTGCTCTCTGCACCCTTGGTTCACACTCGGAATACTGTCTGGCATTAGTCACATTGTGTCTGGTTTGCCTCCCCACCAGACCAAGCTCCCTGAGAGCTGGGACCTTGCTGAGTCATCTCTGACCAATCTCATCCACTCGGGGGCTGGGGCAAAGGATCTGGTTTGAAAGGGCACTCATTAAAGGTTTGTTATACAAATGTGTGGCCCAATGAATGACAGCAGAGACACAGGAGCGCCAGCACCTACCCGGACCTCGGGCCACTGGCGGGCACTGAAGGGGCAGTCGGGGCACTTGAAGGCACCAGGCCCAGCATGGGCCCGCTTGTGACTCTCCATCTCAGCTCGGCCAGGGAAGGCCTCGGCACAGATCTTGCAGGAAAACTTCTTTGATGCTGCAGTGGCTGCACACGGCGGTGAGGGGGGCACTGCCAGGCCCAGGGCTTTGCTGGTTGCAGGAGGTGGGGAGGCAGAGCTCGGGGGGTCCCCTACACGGTGGGTGTTGGCTGGAGATGGAGGCTCAGGGCCATCTCTAGGCAGCCCCCCACACTGCAGCAGGGGCCATTTGGCACCAGAGGCCAGAGCATCTGGACTTGGGAAGGAGATGGAGCCATCTGCGGTGAGCTGTGGAGAGACAGGGAGCATGAGGTGCTGAGAAGGGGAGGGAGGTAGAGGAGTGGTTGGCATCCCCAAGCCTCACCTCAATGTGGTGCAACTGGGTACCATCAGTAGCCATGATGTAGTGGGTGCCAGCTTCTTTTAGGGTGTCACTCACAACCACAGTCTGGGCTGCCTCTCCTGAGGGTTCCTCGCTGTGGGCACGGAGAAGGTTCTAGGAGAAGATGGAGGGCCACAGGAGCCCCCTTCCCCAAGCAACAGGCATCAACTGAGGGATGACTGTCACCAAAGATGGACTCAAGTCAGAAGGGCCTAGGGTTCAACTGTGGCTCTGCCCTGTTACCAAATGACCCTCTACCGTCTCTCTTGTAAATGATTACAACTCAAGCATAGGTCCTTCTCAAAAACGGGTCATCCTTGTCCTCCTTGGTAAACATGGCAAGGTGGGGGGCACACAGTGAGGCAGAGAGGTCCAACCCAAGTCTGGCCAAGTTGAGCAGGACAGGGGGACCAGGCCAACCAGTAGCAAATGGTGAATCCACCACTAGGAGCTAGTGGAGGAGGCAAGGCTAACAAGGACCTGCTGCTGTAGAGAGCAAATGCTGAGACTGGCCGCCCAGGTGCTGGCCAAGGGCATGGGCCCGGGGATCCTGACTCCCAGCCCAGCCGAACAATTTGGCACTTGGATTCAGGGCTTCCTCAGATGGCCTAAGAGTTTGGTGAACATAAACATGCCTGCCCAAGCTCATTCATTGTAGGGGAGCCAAGTGCAGGAGCCAGGCCTCAATGCTGGTAGAGGCCTGAGCTGCTTTGGAATGTCAGAACTGGAGAACACCTGGGATCACTCAAGAAGAGCACTTGGCATGGGAACCAAAGGGACCAGGGTTCAAATCTTACCTACTGCGTGTGTGGTTTCAGGCTGGTCACTTAACCTCCCTGGCCCATTTCCTCATTTGTAAAACAAGGGAAATCTGGATCTCATGGGAATGGCTTAGGTCCCATCATGACTGCCAAGTGCTTGGAACATGTAAGTGGCTAAAAAATGGTAGCTCTTGACCTCCTGAGAAGGGTAGACTCCACCACCAATCACTTGATGTGTACTGGGATTTTTGCCTCCTGCCAACTAGGCTTGGGTGGGGCCCAAATCGAACTGACCGACCACACCTACAAAAAGCTGAAAGGGGCCTTGCAGGCAGCAGGTCTCACCTGTAAGGTGTGCCAGGAGCTGATGTCCCCTCCTCCATAGGGGGTGCCGTGATGACACTGTAGCCAGTCCCACCAAATGGACCAGGTGCCAGGGTGATCTGTGGTAGGTCAGGAGGGCCTAGCTGGCTCTCGGCTGCCGCACCGCCCCCCGGCTCTGCCACATGGAGGGTGACCACCTGTGGAGTGGCACCTTCAGGGGAGGGCTGCCCACCAGGGGATGCTAACCCTGCTTCCATGTCCTCCGACTTCACCACGGCCACCTG